ATACACAAGTGGAACTGTTTTCCAGTATTCTTTTATATTATCAGGAGGAGATTACAATTTTTGTGGCAGCTTCAATGACTATTTCTGACAATTCTCTTACAGTTGATTCGACTGGTTTCGATTGTTAGCGTACTGGTTTCTACCTGGTTTCGATTGTTAACAGTACCTACTAATTTTCCTCCGCTATTGAAAAATGTTGTTCCACAACTAGCGCTGCCATCCGTCCGGATTTTTCCGGATTTGTCCTAGTTTTGACGGCGTCCGGGGAGATTTTTTGAAGTTATCCGTGTTTTACGGTTTACGGCATCTTGAGAAAAAATCACGAATAACTTCGCGAAATTGAGAAAAATCTTTTGGTGGTGACGTATGATAGCGTATTCGTAACTTCTCGATATATCAGTTTTATATAGCGCGCGCGTGCGCGACTCAAGTTTCACGTTCACAGTTCACGTGTCGTTACTGAGAGACTGTTTTAGGGTAGTCAATTCCCTCTGAAAGCCCAGCGCCGAGGCTTTAAGCCCGTCACCCCAAAATGGGGGGTGAAATCTACCATTCTGTACATTTTTCCCAATGACTGCAAAACTAAGCATTTTAGGAAAAAATGCCAAGAGAGAAAAATTGTAGAGAAGAAAACTTCCTACCAATTAGGAACACCGTGAAAAATAAATTGGTTAAATCAACATTTCCATGTTATTTCGAAAAATGTTAATTCAATAGAAAAACTATTGAAATGATCTAGATTTCGTTGTCAGTTAATATCACAAATTGGTGAAAAGACCAGGGAAATTCCTGAGCCTTTATATTCCCTACTACTCTATAGCAGTCTCACTATAGATTACAGGCAACGTGACTTGGCCGTAGTAGGTTTTGTGAGTAAAACAACGGTAATATTTGACTACTAGTTGAATACTGATTTTATTAGGTAAAAATATCACAATTTATATTAATCTAAGTCAAAATAATTTTAATAATAATTTGTCATAATTTTAATTCTCTAACCTTGTTAATACGATGCCTACTGTTCAAGTTATCGGTACTTGAAGTTGAAAACATCTATGGCCACGCTACCCTTCTCCCTTGACGCGCCTCCTGTGCGAGTTTCCTCATAATATGCAGAAAAAACTATGTATTTCAAGGAAACCAAATTAGCACAGTTACGTTCGCTCATGTTTCCTCCATCGATTAAAAAAAAATTGTTCAATTATCTCAATTAGTTTCCGAGATATTGCTTTTACCTAAAAAAAAAATTGAAACATTTTTCACCCTATTTCGGTGCACTAATATCAGAAATCCCATAGACGCACACGCAAACGCAAACGGAATCTCGACTGTGAGTTTATAAATTGGGCTTAAGGATGCCTAGGTTTAATCAAATCGTTTATTTTTGTTAACATAAAAACATAAGTACATTGCGTTGTGATTTTTTAAGTAAAGTATTTTTGGATTCTGATTTTTTAAAATAGGTACCTAATTGCAGGGAGGGCGGAACCCCATATTTTGTAGGTACTGTAAAATCAACGTTCCATAAATATCAACACCAAAAGAAAAGTAAAAATGAAAAATTCTATTTATTAATGTTGTGAAATTAAATATTTTGTAATGCTTTTCTTGATATCTGCTGAGAAGTTTGTTAGTTTGTATCAATTTGTATCACTAGGATTTCCGAAATTGTGTTTTCTGAAACAATAGACAGGGCACTAGTCTTCAGGTAGATTGTCATAGAATTGTCAATTTGTCAATATAATTGTAATAATTAATAATAAAAGGTCCATGTTATAAAGAATGCTGAATGATTATTTGAAGAAGTAATAGTAATTATTGCTGAAATAACAACAGGTCACGGGCCCAGGAAACTCTATTTTGTGAAATAAAATAAAATGAGCACCATGGCAGGAAAAAATAACACTTTCAATATTGAGCCCTTGAATGACAAAAATTATCAAGCTTGGAAATTCAGAATGGAAATATTATTGGATGAAAAAGATGTTAAAGATTCTGTAGAGAAAGAATTCAGGACCACTGATTATACTGATGAAAAGAAATTGCAAGAAGCTAACACTGCCTATGCTATGTGGAAAAGCTTACAGGATCGCTACGAGAAAAAAGGTATACCAGGACAACTCATGCTAAGACGTAAATTAATGCCTATGAAACTTAATGAAATGGAAAATTTGGAAAACAGTTCTTAAAAGAATTTGATGACACTATCAGACAATTAAAGGCCACAGGTGCTGATATCCAAGATGAAGATATAGTTTGCAGTTTGCTACTAGCAATGCCGAAGAGTTTTGAAACAGTTATAACCGTTTTAGAAAATATGGATCCAGGTGATTTAACTATTAATTTGGTCAAATCAAAACTAAGAAGTGAGGTTGAAAAGAAGAGAGCAATTACTGAAACAACTATGAAGCAGCATGGAAGTGATATCAACAAAGCTGCAGCATTTACGACAGATAGAGTTTTTGACAGAAATGTATGTTTTCAATGCGGAAAAAGAGGTCATTACAAAAATGATTGTCCTAATAATGTAAATCATGATACATCGGAAAGACGTGGTTTTGGATTAAGAAGAAGTTTCGGAAGAGGCTATAATCAAGGTGGTTTTCGAGGTAATTCTAACGAACGAGGAAGATTTCAAAGAAGCGGTTACAGAAGTAGAGGCAGAGGCTATCAAAATCGACATTATGGCAATGAAAGAGGAAGTCATCAAGGTAATTGGACTGAGACAAATGTTGAATCCGAACAAGATCCAATATGTTTTATGACAAATAACAATGACAATGACACTGTAAGTATTAACACTGATGAACTTTTATTTTATATTGATTCAGGGTGTACAAATCATTTAATTAACGACAAAAAATATTTCTCTGATTATTTGGAACTTGATAATCCTATAAATATAGCAGTAGCTAAAGATAAAAGTTTTATGCAAGCAGTAGGAGTGGGAAACATTAAAGCTTTGAGTAAAATTTATGATAAGGAGGTAGAATGTAAAATAAAAAAATGTGTTCCATGTATCCAACCTGAGACGAAATTTATTGTCAGTTAAAAGGTTAGAAATCGCAAATATTAGAGTAGTTTTTGATCAGGGAAAAGTCTTTTTATTTAGTAACAAAACATTAGTTGGTTAAGGACATAGAGATAAATTGTATGAAATTTTATTTAAAGTTGAAAATAATAAAGAATGTTCAAATATTGAAACTGAGGATAAAAATACGAAATTATGGCATAAAAGGTTGGGACATATTTGTTATGCAAATTTGGAAAAACTTTTCAAAAATAATTTAGCTCAAGGTATTGACAAGGTGAAAATAGGTAAAATTGATTTTTGTGAAGGTTGTACTGGAAAAATGTCAAGATTTCATTTTGGTACCAGAAAAAGGTCAAAGAGAATTTTAGAAATCATACATTCAGATGTTGCTGGACCAATAATGCCCTTAAGTCATGATAAGGGCAAATATTTTGTCACGTTCATAGACGATTTCTCAAATTTTGTTATGGTTTATATTATAAAAAGTAAAGATGAAGTTTTTAATTATTTTAAAGAATATATTAATATGGTTCAAACAAAATTTAATTTAAAGGTTTCTACACTTAGGTGTGATAATGGACACGAGTACATAGCTGGTGAAATGAAAAACTTTTGCATTGATAATGGAACTGTTATTGATTTTTCAACCCCATACACTCCGGAACAAAATGGAAAAGCTGAGAGATTTAATAGAAGCTTGATTGATAAAGCTAGAGCCATGATTTTAGAAGCAAATATGCCAAAGCATTTATGGAATGAAGCAGTGAGAGTTTCAGCTTATTTATTGAATAGAACACCAACTAATAGTCTTACAAATGCAACACCAGCAGAAATTTGGAACGGATCAAAGCCAAATATAAGTAATATTAGAGTTTTTGGATGTACAGCTTATTCTCATGTACCAAAACAATTTAGAAATAAATTCGATTCAAAAGCAATGAAAGCTGTTATGATCGGATACACAACAACTGGCTATAGACTATGGAATATTGAGGAGCAAAAAGTAATTGTAGCAAGGGACGTAAATTTTAACGAAAACGAATTTCACTACAAAATACCAAAAGTAGGAATACAATTTGAAGAAATAGATGAAAGTAGAGAATTAGTGGAAGAGGATCCAGAAAATAATAATATGCCAGAATTAGAGGAAGAAATTTCACCAATTAGTACAAATAAAAGAATGTGTAAAGTACCTCAAAGATATAATGATTATGAGCCTTATATGGCGTTCGATGCTGTATCCTATGTTGAAGAAGTGCCAGAAAATTTAGAAGAAATAATGCATAGAAAATATAAAAGTATGTGGCTGAGAGCAATAAACAAGAAAACAGAGTCAATAGAGAAGAATAATACATGGACCAAAGTAAAGAGGCTAAAAGGAAAAGAGATTTTAAACACAAGGTGGGTATTCACTTCAAAATATATGGAAGAAAAAAAAGAAGACAAATATAAAGCAAGATTGGTAGTAAAGGGATATGCACAAAGAGATTCTTTCAATTATGATGAATTGTATTCACCAGTTGTGAAGATGTCAACAATAAGAATGATTTTGTCCATTGGAAATCAGTATAAGTATCATTTCAAACAATTAGATGTTAAAACCGCGTTTTTGAATGGAGATCTTAATGAGGATGTTTATATCAATCCACCAGAGATGATTGAATGTGAATCTGAAGGTATTCAAATTAAATAAAGCTTTATATGGTTTAAAGCAAGCTTCTAAATGTTGGAATAATAAAATAAACAGTCACTTAATAGATTTAGGATTTGAAAGATCAGAAACTGATTACTGTTTGTACATAAAAGATTTTGGTAATAATGAATTAATGTATTTACTGTTATATGTAGATGACATTATAATTACAGGACAGAATTATAACAAAATTGAGACATGTAGAGATAATTTAGTAAAGTATTTTGAATTAAAGGATAAAGGGGAATTAAAACATTTTTTGGGGCTTGAAATTAATTACAAAAGACAAGAGGGAATTTTGGAGATAAGTCAAAAAAGATATTTAATGGGAATTCTAAAGCGTTTTAATTTTGAAAATTGTAATAGTTCACCAACACCAATTGATCCAAAGTTAAAAATTTTCTTAAATGAAAACGAAAAAGGGGACAAACCTGTAAGACAATTGATTGGTTGTCTTATGTATTTATTAATGGGTTCAAGGCCAGATATAAGCTTTGCAGTTAATTATCTAAGTAGATTTCAAGACAAAAATAATGATGAGGTGTGGACAGCTTTAAAAAGACTATTGAGATACTTGAAGGGGACGATTAATACAGTTTTGAAGTTTGAAAGAAAGGATGGGTCAACTCCGTTTGTTTGCTTTGTAGATTCTGATTGGGCCGGAGATGTGAATGATAGGAAGTCGGTTTCAGGATATTTAATACAGATATTTGTAAATACTATAACTTGGGTATCTCGTAAACAAAATTGTGTAGCTTTCTCTAGTTCAGAGGCTGAGTTAGTTGCCTTGTGTACAGCAGTACAAGATTGTTTATGGTATAAGAAATTGTTAATTGACATGAAATTAGATTTTAAAACATTCAAACTTTTTGAGGATAATCAGGGTTGTATTGCTTTAATCAAAAATCCAGAAAATAACAAGAGAGTTAAACACATTGATCTAAAGTATAATTTTGTTTGTGAAGCTTTAAATTCTAAGATAATGACATTGGAGTATATTGGTACAAAACCTCAATTGGCAGATATATTGACAAAGCGCCTTCACAAAACTCAGTTTTACTTAAATTGCAATAAGATAGGGACGGTTACAAATCAGAGAGGGATTGAATTTAGAATTTAGTATATTTTTTTTTTAGTTTATTTTGACTGCTGTATATTTTATTATAGAGCTCAAGCAAAGCATTAAGAGAGGGTGTTGTGAAATTAAATATTTTGTAATGCTTTTCTTGATGAGAAGTTTGTTAGTTTGTATCATGTTTGTATCAATTTGTATCACTAGGGTTTCCGAAATTGTGTTTTCTGAAACAATAGACAGCATAGAAAAGTGATTTATATTCTTGATATAGAACGCTCACTTCTGTTGTAGTCGCCCAGTGACATTTCCGACGGTGCTGCCATAGCGGTGTAGTCATTGAACTAATATTTGGCGGGCCGTTTGAATCTCGGTTTCAAATGACTCGTTTGACATTTCAATTATTTCAAAATAAAACAGTGCTTCAAAACTTCATAAACTAAAATTTTATACATTTTATTTTCATATATTTGTGAGGATCACTTAATGAATAAAATAGTCTATAATCTAGATGATTTGGCGTATCTGACTCATAAGCTATATTTGATCAAGTAATTTATAATTGCCTCGAGCATGTATTATAGAGCATCATACAGTGGCACTAGGTTGTTTATCTCCAACAAAACCAAAATTTCTGTTTCTGTGTTGTTCTTGATGTAGATTTCCCTGGTCTGTGGCTGCAATTTGCTTTTGACCGATTTATTTTTTGCCGCCTGGTCACACATTGTGGCAACAACTCTTAAACCGGCTGCTTGTGATGCACTTATTAATTCTTTCACAGTCTTGGAATTCAAAACAATCAATGACGATGCACTCAACAAATTAATTCAGATGACATATGCATTATTTTATTATGTCAAATGGACCTGCGTTTTTATGACCGGTTTTTATATCCACCATTCTATGTCGGTCATTGTCATTTCCTATCCAGTAAACAAAGATAGCTAACTCACCGGTGAAATCACAGATTAGAATAAAAACGAGGGGGACGTTAAGAAACGGCGATATGGGCGCAAAGCGGTGTAGTCATGAACTAAAACAAAAAGTGGAGGGGATGAATCCAGTGAATGTTCTATTTAAGAATTTATAAATCACTTTTCTATGATAGACAGGGCACTAGTCTTCAGGTAGATTGTCATAGAATTGTCAATTTGTCAATATAATTGTAATAATTATTAATAAAAGGTCCATGTTATAAAGAATGCTGGATGATTATTTGAAGAAGTAATAGTAATTATTGCTGAAATAACAACAATTAAAAAATACAACAGCATTTATTGTACACATTTATTGAAGTAACAGCTTCCGATTTCCTGAATTAATAAATTCTTCCAGAACATCATCTAACATCAGAGATTTTGTAATACCATTTTTAATGTTAGCAAGAGCTAAGAAACTGAATCGATCTTGACCCATGGTCGATCTCCTAACATCAGAATTGGCTCAAATTACATTGAGACTGAACCGAAAATGTTTAAATGCACATACCTATACTTTATTTTTTCCCAAGATAGATTTTGACATTGAAAACTTTGAAACATAAACAATAACGCTTGACCCTAATTGGTCGCAAAATGCGGTGTTTCTGCAGGTTGACATCAGTTTTACAATAGCGACCAATAAGCGGCATTAGTGGCATTGTTTATGTTTCAAAATTGGCAATGCCAAAATCTAGCTTGGAAAAAAATAAAGTATAGGTTAGTTAAAGTAGGTATGATAATTGAAAAAAAAAAAAAATAGAAAATAGATGTTAGTATGTTTGGTTTTTTGTAATTTCTATTTTCTAATATGTGTGTGTGTGATGAAGTGCGAATTATTTTTGGGGGGGGCTAAATCGGTTTTTGGGGGGGCTTAAACCCTCCGAGCCCCCCCTAACTTCGCCCATGACTTAACAACACATAATATTGAAAAGGGAAATCCACAATTTAAACTTGAAAAAAATCGTATGTTCTTAGGACAAATTCGTACTTTAGCTGGACACTGTTTCAACAGTTGGGTCGTCCAAATCCTAAAACTTCGTCTCAATTCCTTGGCAATTTTGTTCCAGAGACTTTTATTGCCCTGAACGTCTTGCGTATTTTTAACAACCTCAACATCTGGTTGTCCATAATTTGGTGAATTAGCATACGGATCGTACCCCAACACCGAAAGCATAGGGGCAATGTTTGCCATCTCTTTCAATACGTTTTCAGGAAAATAGCTTGTCCATTTGCTAAGGGCCTCCATATTTATAGGCTTGATTATTTGATCCGACGATGGTTCTAATTTGCTCACTTTAACTCCTTTATTGATAAAGTCCTCGTGATGCAGCCCTGATTCATCCCATGGAACATCCAGGAATTGCAGAATATTCGACATTACTTTGCGTGGGTGTAGCACCAACTGTTCGTATTGTACTCGCAAGCACTTTTGGCCTATTTCCTGGCACTGTGTGTTCATTGCATCTATAACTCTGTTCCATTCTTCCATACATTGTTTATAATTGGTCAGGTTAAAGCCGGTTATGCCCACTTTGCGAGAAATTATTGAGTGCACTGTGGCACGGCCGTCACGCACCATAAAAATAAACTTTGCTTCTGGAAATAAGTCAGCGACGTACTTGCCCATCTTCATTATTAGTGGGTCCTTGTTGCAAAGTCGAGGAGCAAGTTCTCCATGCTTGACAATAATTTCCAACATAAAAGCAGCTATTTCGGAGTTCAAGACTTCGCCACCCACACCTGCTTCTATTAGGCGCTTGGATTCTTTTTCGGACTTCATCCAATTAGCACGCATCTGCAGTAAACGGGGTATCACTCGAGTTTCTTGGCCACATCTGATGTCTTGATGAGCATCCAACATGGCGCCAATCAACGTCGTTCCAGATCTTGGTACTCCACCGATAAAGATAAGTGGCATCTGTCGATTGTAATTATAAGTTTGGTTATTGACGACGTATTGCTTTTTATGCATGCTCGGTTGTCTTGTGTCGAGTATAAACGTCTGAATAACGAAATATAGAATGACCAGCAAGCAGAAGGCAGCAATGACCTTTTGGGGCCCTGCTCGGATTTTTTTTTTAGTTTGCATCGTTAAGGTGCACCTCCAGAGCTGTATTTATATTCTGATGTAATGCCCAGTATCAATGATTGCTTCCAAATCTGAAATAAATAGACCAAGTTAAAATCCTCAAACAGAATAAAGTACAAACAGGTTGCATCACGGTCTGGCCACACATGAACGAGTCGAACACAGGACTAACACGAGACGAGTTTCGTACGAGTTGTATTGTCTGTTAATTTTTTCGGATGCACACAAAAAAAGAAAATTGACATGTCCGAGAGGAAAGTCAGGAAAGTGTTGATCTGAGAATAACAGGGCCAGAAGATTGACCACTTTCGCTTCAGTTTCGGTCAAGTGACGGCAATTTTAGAATCTCATGTATTTCATGTATGAAACAGCTAGCCACTTCATAAAACACATACTTTTTATGTACTTAAGTAATTATAATACATGTTGATAGATATGCACCTATAGCTGGAATGGATAATGAATGGATGGGCTATCGAGAACTAAGAAGAAATAGATATAGGTACCATTAATGAAAAAGGAGACAAGAATACATACATACAAGAATACATAGGTACATGGTTTTTCTCATAAACATAGGTACAGTGTGTCCGGAAATAAATCCAACAAATATTTTTCAAAGATTTCTAAAAAAAAATAGGTAATTCGTATTTTTTATTTTTGGAAGGTAGCCCCGATAGCCCCCCTTACAGAGTTACAGCCTACCAACTCCTAAAATTCACCCCTAAGAATAGTATTTTTTTACTTCTCAGAACCAGTTGTACGAGAATCACTATGTTTCTTCTCTTCTTCTTTCATGTTCAATACTGCGTTAGTGCGACAGTACTCTTAGGCAGTCACTATGCCATGTGTTGTGTTTTAAGGTAATTTTTGTTCAGGAAAAAGAAGGGAAGTGGGGAAAGGATAGGAAGGATGGAAAAGAAGGGAAGATTTTTCACTAGATTTCATTCACTAGAAGAGGGATCTTTCAAATTTTTGAAAAAAATTTCAGCTTCAGGTTATACCTACTCGTTGGTTTTTTAAATAGATAAAAGGTAATAGATTTATAGTATGTTCGTTGGTTTTTCAAATAATGTTAGTGATAGCATTGATAGATACGATCTAAGTAAAACGAATTGGGGAAAAGGTGAAATTTGGACAAGCCACCATTTTAGCAGGAATAATAGGTATCACGGTATCACATATCACTTGTCTCCTATACAGGGTGTCCGTTTTAAGTGATACCACTATTGCTATCTCCGAAATGGTGAAAGATACGAGGTCGGTTGAATTAGAAAATATTTGCCTTTTTTGTTGCCCATTCAAGATTCGTTTACAGTGTTGCCAAATTCCTTTTAGTTTAGGAAATACAGGGTGATTTCTAAGAAACGCCTAAAACTATTTCATCAATTATTTCGAAAACTATTGAATTTCGGGACACAATTTAAATTTGAAAGTTTTATAATTTTTATTGCTTTACAACATGGCATGTTCAAAATTCAAATTTGATGTTTCGTAATCGAGCTACCATTATCAACTTCATTTTTTCAAAGACGGACCTGGATTTTTTATGTCATTTTTAGAAAGCGCCTTTTATTCTTCTTTCAACGATATACCTCTTAAGTATGATTGGCCGACGTTTCTGCTCGAAAAAGTGATCATCAGTGATTTTTACCAAAATTTTACCTTGGCCCTGGAATTCGTCATTTGTAACAAATACGGTCTAACAAGTACTATTTTCCTTAATTAATTAGAACAAAATTAATTGAATGAACACTTAAAAATTATCTAATTGTGAACAATAATTAAAATAATTATTTTAAAACTAATTACGTACGTATATTATTGTAATTTCACAAATTCAGGTTGGCATCAGTGATATGGAATATATGGAATATAAATAAATTTCATCAAAGAATGCCTTGAAAAAAATTAGATTGACAGCTGTGCAACATGTCAAACATTTCTTTATTATTTATTCATTTTATAATAATTGTTAAATGAATAAGAGTACAGTGATTTTCATTATGGAGTTTACGAAAATACCAGAGACATCAGAAGAATTCAAAGAGAGGATAAGGGTTGCATGTGCTAGAATAAATACTAGTTACGTAAACTTTGTTTCACCAGGGTTCATTTTTTTGACATAATTTGCTTTTTTTTAACAAATAGAAATTGACTGAAAGAAATCAATGACATCAAAAACGTTCGTCGGTTCTTAAACCAGAAGTCATTCATAATTTGTCAAAAAAATTGAATGTGTCATAATATGTATAATTAATCTACGACAACCATTTTTTTCAAGTTTCAAGATCAAGTATGAATCATGGTGAAACGATCTCTATTTGTATAAAGTCCGACAAATACCATTTTAAAGTCACGTGATACTGGTGGCAAAAAACGTATGTCCATTGATTATGTCGTTGATATCACCTACAAAAAGCTACTGGTGGTTAATTACTATTAAATTTTAATATATGTTCCCACTAGCATTTTACAAACGCGTTTCTGAAGTAGTATTGACCAATCAGAGGGCAATGTTAATACTTGCAATTGCTGCGAGACTCACTTTTGTCGCATCTGCTGTCTGTTGTAATACATTCTGAACTTAAACTGGGTACCCGTTTTCTATTTGCTTCTTTTCAAGTTAGAAAAAGGTTAATATAGTCAAAATTATTAGCTGTGTTTGTTCGTTGTATTATTTTCGAAAATAACTTTGACAAACTAAATGATGGCAGTGACGAATTCTATTTCAGGTAAGAATATTATGAACAATAATTAGACAGCAATTTTTTTGTCAATTTTACTATCACCGCTGTTTGAGATGTATTTAACAAGGATAGAGAAAAATCACATGACTTTAAAATGGTATTTGTTGGACTATACCAAGGCCGCGAAATGCCTTGGTTGCCTGCGGCCGAGGCAAGATAGTCTCGAGAATGCTGCAAAGTTTCGCGGTCATGGTATACACACCACGTAAGGTGAGGCGGCCGCAAAATTGAATTTCGCGGACGGTTGCATGAAAAACAATAAGTATAGTCGTAATCACGATAGAAAGTGAAGTTGACAGTTCGCGTTGACATATCTAGTATTTTTTTTCTTTAGGTTGCCAGCATGCGTAAGCGTTTTCATTCCTCCAGCTGGGATAAACGACAGGGTCGTATTTAGGAAAATGATATGCATTCCAGATTTATTTTTAATTTCTTTAAAGGAAGTCAAGTTATTAAAATCCTGCATAGTAATATTAAACATCTGTAATAGAACAAACGTAATATTTTCTAATAGTTGTTGCTGTAGCTGGCCGCCCAAGTACTCTGTCGGTTTATTGATGCTATCGGGTCTTCAAAAAAAAGACCAATCAAAGATTGCTTTGGTTACGAAAACGTACGTCGCATTATTGCTTCTTTATTAGCCAGGATTTTTGACATGACATTTTGACATTAAATTTCATTGACTGACGTTGTCAAAATTAAAGAAAAATATTGCTAAGACGTACGTTTAAAAAACCATAGCAATCTTCGATTGGTTTTTTTTTTGAAGACCCGATAGTTATTTCCTTGGGTAGCTACAGAATTAATATAATAAATAAACCCAAATTTTTCCAATAATAATATACAGTACTTAAATTTCTACTCAAATTTTCCATTAATAAAATTATACAGTACTAAAATTTCTACTTAAATTTTCCAGTAATAAAATTATACAGTACTAAAATTTCTACCCAAAAACTCTTCTCATGTGGCTTACATCAGGCTTTTCCATGAAGGCTCTTCTTGGATCATCCTTTCTAAAGGTAAATCCTAACGTGAGCAAAACCCTGCCTAAACTTGACTGGGAACCGTAATAAATTTCACTTTCTTTCAGCCTATCACTTACAGTCTTAAGGGTAACATATGCAATTCTAAAAACCAAAAATGCTTGTTTAAATATTGTAGTACTGTAGCAACAGCAAATATTACTGATTTTAGTTAGTATATCTTGTTCAATTAGCTTTGAGACTTTCGTCAATAATGACACCGAGTGTATTCTTATGGAATTTGCTGGTGACACCATTATAACGTAACTCTTAAAGGTAATTGAACAAAGTAACTTAGTATTACTATTTAACACCAGTCCCTATAACAAAAAGACTACTACCCAAAAATGAACTAAAATTACCCAGTCTAGTTTGTGTTAGTGAAATGGCCTTAACTTATAATTGAAGAAGAGAGGAGTATGCATTCTGTGTAATAATTTATTAAGAAAATCCGCCGAGTGCTTCCGGCCTTAAGTCATCACCAGTGCTGCTTCGTCGCAGGTACAAACATCACACACAAGAGACAACTGACACAAGTGGACGTGCATAATTAAATTTAACTATTAATTAATCAATTACCTATGTAGTAATGGGTTTTTTACCAAAAACTGCTAAATAATATAAAAAAGGAAGAATAACAGTAAGAGGTGGGCGACAGATGGGACATTGCCCCTCTAAATAATTTATACAAGCATAATATTAGATGATACATTAAATAGGAAGTTTAATTAGTGATACCATGTTTAGAGGTACCAAAGTCCACTAGAAAATATGACAACACAAAATGCTAAACATCTGAAAAACAATAAACCCAACACACAGGATAAAGCATGCAGCAGAAGTTACAGAAGCAAATATCTGAACCCAAACTGTGTAGGTACGTCAAAGAGGGGAATATGAATACTTATCCTTATGAAAGACTCCAATAACTCAGGTACCTTTATTGAAAAGCAAGAAAACAATTCTAAAAAATATCATGAAATTATGGAATGAAAGAAATCGTAGCAGCATCTTAATTTGTGTTGACCTGAAATAAAAAATAGTATTAAACTATGAAAAACAGTTTAATTTGATCTGAGAAGTTCCAATGTTATCAGGTGTATTCTTTCGGAATAATCTACTGGTAATGTTAATATGAAGTAACATTGAAACAACTCTATGTTCAAAGTAGAACATCAACTTACTCTCTGTATACATTTTGTATATCTCTAATCGAATAGTCTGTTTGACGCTTCCACTTGAATCAGTTGTCTGCAACTTCTTACAGGGGTAAGACAGGGGTAATTTCAGACTCAACTGAACCATCCTTATATTTATAGACAGTGGTCTCACTTAGTTTCAAAACCTTAGCTGTCTCCTAGAAAGGCAATGGAACAGTAAATTACAATTTATTTATTAAAAATTAACAAAAGCCACTCGGTTCAAAAATATCCTCTTCCAAAACTTGTATCTACATTTACTGAGATTAAGACGAAAACGTTTCTATGATCAATCAAGACTAACTTTATTGTTATTAACTTACAGTTATGGGATTTTGATCTTCATGAGACACCTTGAAATGGTTGTATACGAGTTGTATAAATTGCTGAGCCACAGGGTTCCCATGAATTATTGGTCTCTACAAAAGGATTATTTGCTTATTTTTACTACATTTGAAAACACTACCTTGTCACTTTCCCTCTTGCTTAGAAAAAAAAAAGATTCGTCTCGTAAAGAAGAAGCATCTCCAAGGTTTATTGCTGTTCCCTGAAAATTATTGGCGATGAATTATGACAGTGGTAATTTAAAGTTGCCAATTTTACCGTATTTTCTTCACACCTAAATCATCTGAGATGCTGGAACAGAGCAAAGTCTCCAGGACCCTGGTACGATCGGACTTGTGCGGGGACTTTTCTGTCATCGCTAATAAGAAAACGGCACTTTTAAAATCGTAGTATTGTGTAAGTATTGGGTTTAACTTACCTGAAGGAGATAAAATAAACCAGGTAAGTCTTGATAGAGTCCAAAGTGAACACTTATAAAAAGACAAAACACTTAAATCCGAACTAAAACCAGGTTAGAAATGAAACGCAACACCGAAACACAAAGGCACAGAACACTACATAAAAAACCATAAAACCGATTGAGAATATAACAAAATATCAAAAAATAATGCAGAAAACGGCAATAAACTAAAACGATCTCGCCCAAAAATTCGAAATTCAAAATTCTAAGATCCGAATCTGATAATTTTATATGTCAAATCGAAATGTCATGTATCATTATTTGATGGTTGACAGAAAAAGGGACAGATCTAGGGATTTTATTTACTTTCAACTGGTGAAAATAACGGTCAAAATTTAAACTCTATCGTGAATGCGACTATACATATTAAATAATGAGAAAATTTTTGGCTTGATTTTCTCTGCTTTTCCATCCATAGACGCGTTTCGACCTATCAGGTCTCATCAGCATGGCCAGCATGTGCAACTCTTATGGCGCAATTTGTTCCGCTAAAAGCTTGCGACTACAGACGGCAGAGGCGCTGTCGTCTAATGCTGTTGTCAGATTTATATATAAAAAGTACAGATTATTGTTTATTTGTTTTAAAAAGCTTCCAACAATGGAAAAAAAAGTCGTGTACCTCGCTATTATATAATTGACCTTTTCAATTTAGAAGCCTCTCTCTCTGGCGTCAAACTGGCAGACGCCAAAAGAGTATGAAAACAATGGTTGACAGCCGTTGACAGTGGTTTGTAGACAAGATTTTTGAAAGAAACTATTATTTCCTCGGGTTTTTCAAGGTTTTTTCTTAACAGTGGTGATTGTGTGTAGTGTGCCTATCCATAAATCTAATTCCTATTTATTCCTATTCACCGGCGGACGTGTTTTTCCATAAGTTTCCATCAAATCCTACATTTGTCTAAACTTGGATACACAAAATCAGAATCCGGAAAAGATACTCGCAAAAGAAAGGGAAATCCACAGCCCATCAAATATACAAAGTAATCCACGTTCAAGTTTAGTTTGCAGAAGCTGTTTGCTTCCAAAATAATCCACTACCGGCTCCATAGCGAAGTTATGCGAATGAAGCAGTGACTTTTCCTACATTTTCTTCCCAATTTCAAACCCTGCGTTTTTATCAAATTTTACCGATGGATCCATCATTCTATGTCGGTCATTGTCATTTTCCATTCACTTAACAAAGATAGCTAACTCATTAGTTGTATTCCTTTCACACCTAGGACAAGCTCCGGAACAGCTCCGGGGCTTCACGCGCTTATTCCTTTCGAAAAGTGTTTGTTGCACTACGCATATGTTCCCTGCAAATCGGGGGCGACTGAGCACCGAAGCCAGTAGCTCGAGGGTTTCAAGCTCTTGAAAGGAATACAACTATTGGTGAAGTCACCGATTCAAATAAAAATGAGGGGATTGCTAAACACTCAATACACATTGACATTGACAAGCAAGCAAATTTTGGCGGGAAAATGAATGTTTTCATACTTATCGTCCATCTCTTTTAATTGAAAACGTCAATTGCCAGTAGTACGATTTGAAATTACATTTCTTTTTCAAAACAAATATCCCATGCTTTTGACATATTGTGGCAGCGTCGCTTGACTTTTACTTTTTCATCATATTTTGACAAATTTTGACATATCCCATTTTTATTCAATAATTTAAATCAGAGATTGAAAATTTTCTCCGTTCAAAGCAAAATGGTTTTATCTTGTTGTGTGGCAATGTGTGAAAGCTGAGGGAACAGAGTAAAAATTCATCGAATTCCCAAAAATGATGAGCAGGTATGTTTCAATCCCTAGATCATACTGAAATCGGGATTTTACCTCCTGTAATTTTACCACTGTAACTTTTCTCTCTATTTAGGCGTTTATTTTATGCCTGCAAAACGTTTACAATCAGCAAATCTCATTCATTGTAGGTACCTATTATTGATTGGATTGATATTATATACCTACTGTAGTTAATAAAGTAATTCAAAATTGTTATTTTTGTATTTAATACATGGAAAAATTAGTATGTAATTCTTCGGTATGTGATCAAGAGACTGTTTATCATAATTTTATTTCCACTAGAAACATATTAAATTGTGCTAGTGGCAATAAATAATGATAAACGGATCCTAAAGAAAAAAACTTAAATTTGAAAAGGATCGAGCGCTTCCCGCGCTCTCAAGTTGCTGACTACACACGCGAGGGGGCGCTGTAATCAGGAACAAAATGTTTGTATTGAGTTGCCTATCTATATTATAGGTTCGAGAGAGTTTTGTATCCCTTATCTATGAGCATGGCTAGGAAAAGCAAAGAAAACCAAACCAAGTTTCGTGCCTGTAGGCAATATACACATAGTACAACGGTCGAAATTTGATCGTGGCGCCATCTAAGATAAAGATTCAACACCAAACAGCAATTTTTCCTGCAATATGGTGACTGAGTATCTAATTGGCCGACCAAAATTCAGTTCGTGGGAAAACCCAGAATAGGAAAACCTATTATCCACTGATGAGAAAATATTTGGCTTGATTTTCTCTGCTTTTCCTAGCCATGCTGATGAGACCTGATAGGTCGAAACGCGTCTATGGATGGAAAAGCAGAGAAAATCAAGCCAAATATTTTCTCATCAGTGGATAATATGTTTTCCTATTCTGGGTTTTCCCACGAACTGAATTTTGGTCGGCCGATTAGATACTCAGTCACCATATTGCAGCAAAAATTGCTGTTTGGTGTTGAATCTTTATCTTAGATGGCGCCACGTTCAAATTTCGACCGTTGTAATATTATTCAAAAAAAAAAATTGTAAAAAATTGCAGATGATGCTTAAGGAATAATGGACTTCAATTTGAGTACATATTTACTTTAATACCTAATTAGTTTGTAAGTCATTATTTTCGATATTGTTCATAATTAGATAATTCTAAGTGTTCTAAATAAAAGGAATAAGGTACTTGTTAGACCGCCTTTGTTACAAATAAGGAATTGCAGGGCCGAACTAAGGTAAAATTTTGGTAAAAATCACTGATGATTACCTTTAAAAGCAGAAACGTCGGCCAATCGTACTTACGAGGTATATCGTTAAAAAGGGAATAAAGGGAGCTTCCTAAAAAATGACATAAAAAATCCAGGTCCGTATATAAAAAAATGAAGTTGATGATGGTAGCTCGATCAAGAAACGTCGGATTTGAAATTTGAAGATGCCATGTTGTAAAGCGATAAAAATTATAAAACTTTCAGATTTAAATTGTGCCCCGAAAATCAATAGTTTTCAAAATAATTGATGAAATAGTTTTAGGCGTTTCTTAGAAATCACCCTGTATTTCCTAAATTAAAAGGAATTCGGCAACACTGTAAACGAGTCTTGAATGGGCATCAAAAAAGGCAACTTTATTCTAATTTAACCGACCTCGTATCTCTTACCGTTTCTGAGATAGCAATAGTGGTATCACTTAAAACGGACACCACAATATCTATATTTCTTCTTAGTTCTCGATAGCCCATGCATCCATTATCCATTCCATCTATACATATCTATCAACATATATTATAATTACTAACATAATAATTTCTTGAACTTAATTTTTATATTTCTTTTACAGATTAGATTGGAAAATCGGCCTAACCTGTTTCATGATGTACATCGGCTTTTTGGTATTCGCAACGCTAGTGGAGCTCAACGTGTTCTTCCCAGTAAATCTTCCAACTTGCCGTAGATAACAAATAATTGCATGAGCTCTATGGTAATTTTATCGTAAATACTTAACAATTAGGTTGGCAAACGATGTTATGTATAGGTTGAAAAAAGCGACGATGTTACTTTTATAAATAAATAAACCTTAAGTATAGGTATTCGTAAAAATCCAAACTCTAGCTATGTATAATTTGTTCGCCATTGTTCGACTATGATTTTTTAAGTACCTATCTACGTATTAACTTAGATGAAACTGCCAAGTAATAATTGTATTTGAATTCTACTGTGATATCGAATGCTTTTATTATATCAGACATAAAGTACGTGGTTAACCATTTGAAACAAATCAATAAGTTCACCCCTAATAGATGAATAATTATAATAACAACCAATCAAACAGAGAAGTTGCAAAATGGCGCAAATCTCAGGCACACTTCATTTAAAAGTTATAAGTACCCAAATATTTCAAATTATGGGTCTCTCTCAGCTAAGAGTGCATCCTGTATTTCAAATAATATTCTAGTATGTAACATCCGGTATAGTATAAAACGTTACATTTGTGTATTAGATATAGGTACCTACATGTATTTCCTAGGACTGATTATTATTTTTATTTTAATAAAGAAGAAAAAATATTGTGTGATTTAATTTTGGATATTATTGACAAGCTCTACTATCAAATTTCATTTCACAAAATTACAGGAAAACAATGGGTGGTATGAATAAAAAACGAAGTACCTACCTGCTACTACTACAATAAGTATTTGTATATTCTACGCAGTATTTACTTTAAAAAGAAGAATTAACTAATTTCTGGTAGTTTCGAAATGTAATATACAGTGTGTCCGAAATTCGAGTCTCTACATGTATGTTGCAACCTCGCGTTCTCGATCCGAATTGTCTACTTTTTACTCTTATCTTAAAATTGGAATTTAACAGTTAATTTTGTCTTTTTAAATTATAATAACAGTCATTAATGTTTATTAAGAGTGTTTATTTCTAAAACTAGTGAAAATGCAGTGAAATATGCAGGTAATTTACGGAATAATAACTTTGAACAACAGAGAAATAGATTCCCCTCAGCTTAATCCCAGGGATCTTGAACTTTGCACCTTTCGACGTTGTCACGTTAGCCACGGAACCAAAGTTTACGGAACCAAAGAAATCTGAAAAACTGATTTATTTCAAGTCATTTTCAACAAAAGCGTTTCCTTACTAAAAATAGTGTCTGATCAACCATGATCCGCTGGTCTATTCGGAGATTAATTTTGTTGCCTGAATAAAATTGAGTCGAGCAATAATGTCCCAGAAACTACCATCGCACGGTGTGTGCAACAAGTGCTTTGCCGAATGCGTTTTCAGAGTGAAGGCTGATAAAGGCGATGCTCACGACGAATTATTTGGCTATCCCTGTGACGGATGCAAGACAGCTTTATGCAGGAAATGTGAAAAATGGAGTACCACTGAGGTGCAGTGAATGTGTCCAGGAAAAATCGGGTACAAATGTTAAGCAACTAGAAAAACTCAGCTTTGAAAATCAAATTCTAAAGATACAAATGGAAAAAATGGAAATACAAATGAACAAAAATGACACACACATGCTAGAACTACAGGACAAATTCCAAACATTGAAAATGGAAAAGCATGAAGTCGAAGAGTGTTTGAAAAGAAAACAGAGATATACCGTGGATTTCGAAGATGAGGTTTTTGCTGCAGAAGAAAATTTCCAAAATGAGATAAAAAAATACAAGTTGGAGCTGGAACAACAAAAAGCAGAAATGTACAAGCTTAACAAAGAAAATAAAGAGCTCACAACAAAAATGCATGATGTTTTGGAAATTGCTGAAAAATTTAAGACCGAAATTGGGAAGTTAAAAACAGTATTGGAGGATATGACTAATACAAAGAATGAAATGTTGGATACGATCAGAATACTAACAAATGACAACGAAGTGTATATGAAGGAATATAAAGACGCCCAACAGAAATTATTTTTGCTAAATAGCACTTTCAGAAATAGCAGCGGTTTAATAGCGGATGAGGCCACGCAGTGTGATTTGATTTCTGAAGCACTGGAGAACAAGCAAAGCAGGGAAGGTGAACAAGTTGCATCGCATCAGCATACCCAGCAGAAAAGTGACAGTGATTCCAAAATCAAAAACCAAACTGCTCAAAAGCATAAAATTCTTTTGATTGGAGACAATTCCATTGTTGATTTCCACAAATCGCTAGAAAAGCAGGCTAAACTAGAAGCATACAGAATACTCACTCACTATTGCAAAACACAACGCTCTTCTGGAAAACATCATCGAGAATGTCTGCGATTTAACAAAGGACTTTAAAAAAACTGATTACGTAATTATCAGTGGAGGTCAAATGAATGCCCTGTGCGGTGGGACAATTGACATTTCTTTTTTCCAGAAGCTATCTCACTTGAGTCAGTACACAAATATTGTAATTCTTTCCGTGCCTTTATGGAATAACGAGTGGAATAACCACTTAATATTAAGTAAACTGATCGATCAAGTTAATATTAAATTATATGAATTTCTTCAAACTCTGAGTGGTGCATCCCATTTATTTATTAATCTCAACTCGTTCTTGAATTCGTCTTATTTTAATTTTAATTTTAAAAATAATGCTTTAAAATATGCTGCAAAAATTAAAGTATCTGAAAAAATCTCGGAATACATAGAAACTAGAAGTATTGGTCAACATACGAATGACAGTGAAGATAAGGCAGACCATTTTTTAGAGCAGGGTGTGACAGAAACTTTCCAGATAGCTTGATTAAAGCGGAAAAAAATCAAATTATCAAGAATAAATATTCAGTCCTACTTTTAAACATTCAATCTTTGCGGAATAAAACAAACGAGTTTACTCTATTTCTTGATTCCTGCAATAATCCGAATATTATTCTCTTAACGGAACACTGGCTAAAGAACCAAGAACTAGTTAACATACCAAATTACGTAATTTTGTCAAACTTCTGTCGCACTCACTCTGAACATGGTGGTTGCATTGTTCTGATTAATAAGTCTTTTCTTGGGGCGAATATGTTTGAACCAGTGAATAAATTTGATGTATTGTTAAAAGAAATCACATTTGAGTTCAGCATTGTCTGCTCAAAAAAACTGAACCTGTACATAATCTGTGTATACCGATCGCCCTGGTCAAATACAATTGAATTCTTGACAGGTCTTGATGGCCTCTTGGCTCAAATTTCCCCATATTCCAGGGTACTTCTCGGTGGAGACTTTAATCATCTACGTTAATTGATTACTTATGTTCAAACTATGGCGCGGAGGAAGTAGATTGCAGGGTTGTCAATGCAGCTTTGTCTGATCATGAGGCAATAATTTGTGATATTTTGGAGCCAAAAATAAGGTACGAAGAAAAGGTTAGGCTTGGTAGGGTATTTAATAGGAATAGTTATAATAGGTTTTATCAGGAATGTAACGAGGAATCATGGGGTGATGTGGCAGAACAAGAGGAACCCCTAAGCACTTTTCATCAGAAAACCATTAAAATTTTTGAAAAATGTTTTCCCTTAAGGAAACTTAAAATGAAAAAAGAAAAGCCTTGGCCTCAAAACTTCCTCAAAAAATCTTCGTTGTCTTCATAAAATTAGGAAATTCACTGACAGTTTATTTTTTCACAACTTCTTTAATTCATATAGGTCTCTTTATCGGAAACTTATTGCCGCTGCTAAAAAGAAATACTACCACGATCGTCTTAATTGTTCATCAAATAAACAAAAAGATTGTTGGCAGATCATAAATAATATTCGCTCCAACAACTCTTCAAAACCGTCATCGTCCCCTGAGGTTACTCCCGATCATTTAAATCAGTATTATTGCAGTATTGCAAGAAATTTAACAAAAAATATCAAACCCAGTGAAGATTCGATGTCCTATATGACTGGAACATCAGTGGTTAATTCATTTTCATTTACTCCAACTAACTTGCATGAAGTAAAACAAACCTTGAAAAGTATTAGGAAGAAGAATACCTCCGGTGAGGATGGGCTGTCTGCGAACATCTTGCTTAGCATGCCTGATATGATTCTGTCTGGCATACTTGTGAACTCTATAAATATCTCGTGGACAAGTGGTATATTTCCTACAAGCCTAAAGTCCGCAATGGTGATTCCCTTGCATAAGGGGGGGGACGAGTCCAACCCAGCAAATTTTAGGCCGATTTCACTACTGTCCACTCTATCTAAGTTGATTGAAAAGTTAACTAAGACTCGTGTCATGTCATTTCTGGAGCGTAACAAAATTCTAAGCAAGACCCAATTTGGATTTCAAGCCAACACTGGCACGAACAATGCTATGTTCCATTTGCTCACTCGGTTATTTTCGTCCATCAACCAATCAAATGTAGCTGCGGCGGTATTTTGCGACCTAGCAAAAGCATTTGATTGCGTAAATCATTCCATTCTTCTTAAAAAACTTTACCATTATGGATTCCGGGGTGTCGTTTTAAAATGGTTCGAATCTTATTTGAGTGAAAGGACCCAGCGAGTTCTAATAGGATCGGATGCATCCAGACCGGGCCATGTTGAGTGGGGCGTGCCGCAAGGTTCAGTGCTTGGCCCTGTTCTATTTCTGCTTTTCTTCAATGACTTGGCTATGTTTCCAATTAATGGAAAGTTTACCATTTTTGCTGACGATACTACCATATCGTGGAGCTGTACTGACGTTGCTACTCTTAAGGCTGCCATTCCAGGGGACTTGGAATTGGTAAAGAGGTGATGTGATGCTAGTTTCTTGACGTTTAACTATGGTAAAACTAACCTGGTTTCTTTTAAATGTCATATAGATGATATTGGGGTTGGAGATGGTTTAATAGCAAGACGGGAGTATAGCAAATTTTGGGTTTAACAATCGATTCCAATTTAAAGTTCGATGAACATATTTGCTCTCTCAGTAAGAAAATAGCTTCTGGCTGCTATGCTGTGAAGACGACAGTCCGGGAGCTAGGGTTTAACTTCGGAAAATCAGTTTACCATGCACTAATTGAGTCACACCTTCGGTATGGCATTGCTTTTTGGGGCTCAACAACTGATCAGCTAATTGGTATGTTGTTACAGAAGAGAGCGTTGAGATATCTTTGTAATGCTAACTACAGAGAATCATGCAAACCTTCGTTTAAATCCAAGAAAATCTTAACCATCACTTGTTTGTATATTTTAGAAACAGCAAGTCTCATTTATACTCATCGCAATGACTTTGTCCGGCCTTCTACTAGCTATGGCTATAGTACAAGATCTACCCAGCAAATTAACCTACAGCTTCCTATTCCGAAATCTTCGCTTGTTCACCACAAGCAATTAAAATATCACCAACAATGAGATTATTTAGAAAAGGACTACGGGACCTACTTTCTGATAGAGCCTATTATGATTTGAACGAGTATTATCAAGACAGATTTTAGGCAATGATTTTAGGTAATGATTAGCATGTTTCTAACTTTGTATGTTTTGAATAACTCTGTGATAGAATGGGTTTCTTTTTAAATTTTATTATTTTGTTCGGTATTTGTAGTTATTTAAACCTGAGTTTTAAACTTTATGTAATTGTAGTGTCTTTCTATTTGATAAGTAACTTATTCAGTCGTGGAGTTTATAGTTTTATGCAAGGAAATACTCAATAAGTTAGGTACCCATATATTTTTTATTATATTAATTTGTACATTTACCAAAGATTAATTTAGATTTAGATTTAATCTCGACTTTTAAAGTTTGTGTAAACTATGGTGCCTTTTTTTGTATTATTTAAAACTAATTTATCGTTGATATTAATCTGTATAATTTTATTTGATCAGATGGTTATTCTTACCGTTTATTGTAACTGTCAGCAAAGCACAGTCTATTTTTTTTTAATATACTGTGCTTTAGCTTAATATTAGAGCTGTTAAATTTTCTTACTGTTTCTGACGGTTTTTAAATAGTTTTGTTAGTTGTTAAGTTTTGCTTTGTCCACAAAACAAATTGTAATGTTTTTATGACAATAAAGCACACTATCTATCTATCTATCTACATGGGGATTTCGCTTATTATGAGAGATACAGAGTGGCTCAAATTAGGAAAGTTTTAGGGAATTTATTGCTCATTTATGTCCTGTTGTTAAATTTGCTTCAAAGTTTTCTGTTTCCTAGATATCCGCGAGAAAAACTGAGAATAGCCAATTTTGTTTTTTGTCGCAATAATTCATGAACCGTTAACTTTAGACTTTTCTAACTTTAACATTATTAAGACACTTTTTAGAGACGGATATTTTCGTGATTTGAAAACATTCCGATCGTCGTTTGTTTTCGAGTTATTAACCAAAACTTTCTTATTTCTTATGGCAACCATCTTCGATCTTCGATCTTCGATTTCAACAAAATAATATTCTGCGATAAAAATCCTCTAAAATTATGTATTACAAGCTATGAAAACGTTTTGCAAGTCCTTCAAAATTACAGTTGGAACCGATATTTTGCTAAATTTGGCAACAATGCTCATAGTTATAAGAATAAAATCAAATAAGTATGATTTAATACCTAAAATCGGTATTTTTGAAGTCTTCTGGCAATTTACTGGATAAAGAAAAAATAAGTAGGTAAGGAATTCCACATGTTTTTTTTTTGTAATGTAAACAACATGAATTACAGCTTCTCCTCCTTTCTTTTTTCGGTTTAACGCCTCGGGAAAAATTATACCAATTTGGATATTCCATGGACTGATAGGAATTTCCTATCAGTCCACGTCACAGATAAAGAAGCCAAAAAAGCGACCCATCGTAATATTATTGTCTTGATAAAAAGACACTCGAATTAAAGAATATTTTATTAAAATAATAATACAAGGTCGAATAGACTCTCAAGACTGAAAATCTGAGGGTGCAAATTCGTCCTTCACGCAAAACAAGAATTGTATCTGGAATATCTAAATTGGTATAATTTTTCCCGAGGCGTAAAACCGAAAGAAGAAAGGAGGAGAAGCTGTAATTCATGTTGTTTACATTACAAAAAAAAAAACATGTGGAATACCTTACCTACTTATTTTTTATTCATCCTGTAAAATTTCCAGAAGACTTCAAAAATACCAATTCTAGGTATTAAATCATACTTATTTGGTGTTATTCTTATAACTATGAGCATGAAAATATCCGTCTCAAAAAATTGTCTCAACAATGTTAAAGTTAGAAAAGTCTAAAGTTAACGGTTTATGAATTATTGACAAAAAACAAAATTGGCTATTTTCAGTTTTTCTCGGATTTCTAGGAAACAGAAAACTTTGAAGCACATTTAACAACAGGATATAAATGAGCAATAAATTCCGTAAAACTTTCCTAATTTGAGCCACTCTGTATCTCTCATAATAAGCGAAATCCCCATGTATAGAGACTCGAATATACTTCGTTTTAAAGTAAATACTAATCTTTTTAGTAATAGCAGGTACTACTACAAGTTTCAGTAAGTATATTCTACTACGCAATATTTACTCCAAAAAAAAAAAATTTGTACTAATTTCCGGTAGTATCTACTTCACTTGACATAGAATATGCTCCACCACAAAGTATATATATACTCCATACAGAGTTGTCAAAGATACTTTTGAAAAGTATCTAGTTACAAGATAAGTTACTTTTGGAAAAAGTATCTGAAGTTACTTCGGGTATTTAGTTACTCATTGAAAAAAGGATCTTAAATACGTATTTAAGTTACTTTTTAAGATACTTAATAAGATACTTATTAAGATACTTTATTATTATTTCCAAATAGCAGGCGGAAAAACCGATTAAGCTATGGCTGTTTATTTGTTCCACAGGTTTCGGGTTCAATTTGAAAATTTTAAAACAAAAATTGTTATAGTTCAAAAATCCCAAATTCCAGAAGGGTCAAAATCACAAGACACTAGAAAGTTATCACCGTTACAATCACAAATCATAGTTAAATTTTTATAGAATAGGTATAATGGACAAATCGCGACGTGAGCTTTTGCAGTTAACAGCTGTCATTCAACCCTTTTTTTAAGTGAGTTTATACTCACTTATTAAAAAAAAAGTATAATCTGTATTTAAACTCTTACCACTGTCTACAGTCTGCAAATAAATCAATAATTGTATTTTCTAAAAAAACTTATTTTCCAAAAACGAAAAAAATTTATTTGAAAATCAGGGTCACAGATTCACAACTAACGTAACACGAAATTATTAAATAAATGGTATCAATCAAGACAACACCAGCAAAAATAAAATGCATAATTGCATAAATAAAGAAAACAAAACGCCTACATTTTTAAGAGCTTAATGTGTATTTGTTATCTGTGTTTTATATTTTATGAAACTTATGAAAGTCTATACTCTATACAAACCATAGCTAAATAAGTGGTATGACTATGACCATAATCGTGTTGGTTTTCTTGTCTGCTACCTTATGATTGAAATTGATCTGATTCCAAAGGCAGTACACTATTTGCTTGCTTTGTCTTGCTAGTATAGAGATAGTCTTGTTGCTTGTCTAGAGCTAGACGGTAAAACTGTCTCCACAGAGCGGTGGGTGAGTACAAATGAATAATACATAAAACGTAAGCTTGATTCTGTTTGAAGTAGTTTGAACCAGTTCCATCTTGTTGTGTGGGGTTTGGTGAACGTCTGAAGGAACTTTTTTCACGGTATTTTTGATACTTTTCGTTAACTTAGATAGGTCAATTTCAGTATCTAAGATACTTTCCAGTATCTAAGATACTTTTCAGTATCTAAGATACTTTTCAGTATCTAAGATACTTTTCAGTATCTTAGATACTTTTCAGTATCTAAGATACTTGTATGTATCTCAGATACTTTTCGGTATCTAAGATACTTTTTTAAGATACAAGTTACAGATCCTTCTGAAAAGTAACTAAGATACTAGATACTTTTGCCAAAAATGAAAAGTATTTAGATACAGTATCTTAGATACTATAAAGTAACTAAGATACTGTAAAGTAACTAAGATACTTTTTTCTGACAGCTCTGACTCCATATTATGAAGTATCTACCCAATAACTGTAGTACATTCTTTGAAATATAGTACCTACTTATGTGTAGTTTTAGTTTTTAGAACATCTGGCAACTGGCTATCTAAAATTAGGTCTGTACCTATTAATTAATTTTCAATAAATAAATAGGAATATACTGGTGTCAACTTAGTATTGATGATGAAGAGCTATGTTATTTTAAATTATAGTCCTGTGAAAGATGAAGCTGAAATTAAATATTAAAAGATAGTTACCTATCAGGCATCAGGTAGGTAATTAATAAAATAAGGAAAGAAAATATGTACCTAAAAGTTTCAAAATAGGATTGCAATATTAATATTATATCTATGGAATATATGAATCGCGAGATTATTAAACCATGTTTTCCGTTGTTGTGTCGAATTTAGATCCTTTGGGGAAACATAAAACTAGTGTGGAAAAGAATTTAGGTATAAAACTAAGAAAGGCGTCAAACTTAAAGAAAGGCGTCTGTTAGGTGATCTGATCGTGACACATAAAATAAGTAGCTACTCTTATTGTAACCTTGAAATTTTTATTTTCAATAACAACCCCTATCTACGAGGTCATTCTTTGAAGCTGTATAAGGAAAAAACCGCCAAGCTCTCAAGAAAACTTTTTAGCATAACCGAATTGTTTACCCATGGAACAGCCTTTCAAATTCTACAGTCAACGAACAAAGTTTGAATTCTTCCAAAAATAAAGTCGAGTGCATTTTTATTCCAACTATAATCTTTACCTTAAAATAACCTGATCTAGGGACTCTTTTTTATACGGATTTTTAGACACAAATGTAAAAAAAATATAGTTTTGAGTCAAAAACACAATTAAATTCCCAATGAAATTTAGGCAATTCAATAGTTTTACCAGTGTAAACTGCTCGTTATTTTGCTTTGACAGTAATAATTAGTGCAGCAACATACATATATGATATCAAATGTGCCAAACAATTTTGGTAAAGGCCGTGGCTCGATGGAAATCAGTACCTAGCTCAATTAGTTCGGATACTTTCGATATCTTACTTTGCCTAGCTTACCTTGACTCATAAAATCAGCATTCTACCTCAAAATTCCAGGACAATATTGAATAACTATTAATTCGCAAGGAATAAACCACAGTGCGGCTTGTTTATTGCGGCTATTTCTACTTTAGGCATACCAGCTTTAGCTTCAACAAAGTTAGGTAAGTACCCAATTATTATTGCATATGCTATAATTGTAGTACCTACGTACCGTACGTTGAATATGGCACAAAATGATAACAAAATTTTCGATCAAAACCTAATAATTAGTCGAAATTTTTACTAAATTACGTTCAAAGTTCACAGAAATATGTATCGATAACTGAAAATGTATTAACTTCCCTTTAACGGTGTTATGGGTATAATATGTCGTTGAAGGTAGCAAGGGAATCCGGAATCAACCCTATGTATATAAAGTCGTCTAAAAATTTATGTATCAAAATGTGCGAAAATTTTGTTTGGGATGATCTAAATTCAAATCAATTATTAGAACATCAGTTTGCAGAATATTCGGAATACTCAAATAATAATTTATGAATATTCCTTGTACATTATAATTATAGATACTTATCAATAAATAATTATTATAGTACATTCAATATTTCCGGGAAACTTTTTGGTAAATTCGTGGACTTTTCCGAATTGTTTTATCTATTTGAATTTGTCTAGAAATAGATAGCCATAATAAGAAGTAGCTTTCGCGCTTTCCCCTTGTTTGGGCGTATTGTGCATTGATTGAAAGTTGTGACCGCTTCTAATTGATTATTGATTCGTATGGCAAATTTGTCACTCCATACTTACCCAAATGATATCGGGATTGGTCTTTGCTATTTGAATGTCTCCAAAATCCGAAAAGCTTATCGAAAATCCCACTTGTGATTAGTTTGATGCACGATGCAAAGCGGAAGGCTTTCTTATCCAAGGGAGGAAAAGCATATGACTATTACTCCAGAGGTATGTATAGTTTGTTCTACTGAGTTTCACGATACCTCGATGGGCCACTTTCGATAAATGAAGAATCGCATATATTATATACTTACGAATTTTCTGAAAACTTGGTGGTTTACTGACTTAAAGGCAGGAAAATTTTTCTTCCCAGGTAGGAAAGAACCATTCAGGTACTAGAAATAGTATATTGTGTATTTGGGTGGAAAAGTGACACATTCTCGGCCGTCGATATAAGTTGAAAAGCGAAGGCCGAGAATGTGCATTTCCATCGAAATACACATACTATTTTTTCTGCGATCGGTTAAATATCTGTTAATTGTTTGTCTTTTTGTTCCAATTGTTCAGCAGTACGAGAATCACTTTCTCGGCCTAGGCCGGAAGCCCGGAGAAGTGATTCCCGTATTATTGTTATTCATTGATTCCTTAGCAACTATTGAAACAATTAAAATACCAGAATATTGAGTTTTGCGACCTGTCAACCGGTCAAAAATGCTGACATTCACAGTCAATCGCAGAAAAATAGTATATTGTTGTATTAGGAGTAGAAGCTTTACTTTTTTGTGCTGAAGCAGTAGGTTTGCAAGCCGAACGTAGTGAGGCTTGCAATACTGCTGAAGCACAAAAAAGTGCTTCTACTCCATATGCAACACACTATTTTTTCTCCAAACGAATGGGGTAAGCTCGGGGGCAAGTGAATGGTTGAGCGGCAGTAATAGTACAAGCGGCACTAAAACTACTTTTGCTGCCGCTGGGGTTGCCAAGCAGCATAGAAATTAAATTTCTACCACCTCGACAGGTGTTAACCCGCTGGATTTGCCTAGCAGCATAGAAATCAAATTTCTGACATCTTGACAGGGGTTAACAAAGTGACGTTTTTCTGACGTTTGGAGAAAATAGTATATTGTTGTATTAGGAGTAGAAGCTTTACTTTTTTGTGCTGAAGCGGTAGGTTTGCAAGCCGAACGTAGTGAGGCTTGCAATACTGCTGAAGCACAAAAAAGTGCTTCTACTCCGTATGCAACACGCTATTTTTTCTCCAAACGAATGGTGTAATCTCGGGACAAGTATGGATGGTTGAGCGGCAGTAAAAGTACGAGCGGCACTAAAAGTACTTCTACTGCCGCTCCAGCGGCACTAAAAGTACTTTTGCTACCGCTGGGGTTGCCAAGCAGCATAGAAATTAAATTTCTACTACCTCGACAGGTGTTAACCCGCTGGATTTGCCTAGCAGCATAGAAATCAAATTTCTGACATCTTGACAGAAGTTAACAAAGTGACTTTTTTCTGACGTTTGGAGAAAAAATATATTTGGATCCTTCATAAGGGTCTTTGTTTTTCGGAGAACTGGCAACCAGCTTTTGTTGAGCTTCATGCCCTCTTCTTTTCTGTTGAAGTTGTTGTGGTGTTTCTGTATCTCTATGGCTTCTCTGTGGAGTCTGGTGTAAAAATGGTTAGTTTTATCCCATGCTTGAGTCTGGTCGAAACGAATGACATGGTTTGTTTGTGTGAGCACGTGTTCGGCGATTGCTGATCTATCTATTTGTCCCTGCTGGCAGTTTCTTTTGTGCTCTTTGACCCTGGTGTTGATAGAGCGTTTGGTTGTTCCTATATAGACAGATCCGCAAGAGCAGAGAATTCTATATATAGACGCCAGCCGTTTCAAGAGGTGCCCTAGGATCCTTGTCCGATCTTAGACTTTGCTGAATTGTTCTTGTGGGCTTGTAGATAGACTTAACGTTGAGTCTTTCTAGCGTTCGTCCTATGCAATCTGTGAAATTTTTTATATAGGAAAGAACGGTTCTCCCTGCCATTTGTGCTGGTTCCTTGTTATTTGTGCGCTGTTGCTTCGGTCTTATGGCTCTATTTATCTCCTGCTTAACTTTAAGTGGTAAATGGGTACTTACCCACTTCCTTCAAATGCTGATTTTAGGTGTTGCATCTCATCCTGAAGGTATCTGAGTTCACAAATCCGGATTGCCCTGTCAGATAGAGTTTTAATGACTCCTCTCTTTTGCCTAGGATGGTGATTGGATTCCTTGTTGACGTATCTGTCCGTATGCGTCGGCTTCCTATGTACTCTGTGTCCCAGTTTATCTGAGAGTAATCTTTCTAAGAGGACGTCGAGGAATGCAATTTTGTTGTCCTTCTCAACTTCTATCGTAAACTGTATCCTGGGTTCTATTGAGTTTAGATGATTAAGGAAGTTTTCGAGCTCTGCCTCACCATGGTTCCAAACAACCAATGTGTCATCTACATAGCGAAACCAACAAGTAGGTTTCTTTGTGGCCGTTCGCAGTGCCATTTGTTCGAAGTTTTCCATGTAGAAGTTAGCGATAAACGCGGGCTGAGCGGACTCCCCATTGCATTGCGACTCCATCTGTCTGCTCAAAGAATTAATTTTGCCATTGAAAGTACGTAGTCGTCAGACAGTGGTGAAATAAGTTGTTGATTTCTTCCGGAAAAACATCTTTCAGATACTCTAAGGCCTGATTCACTGGTACCTTAAACGCTGGACGTTGCAACGAAATCCAACCTTTAGTAAACAATGAGACGACATCAAAACTAACCAGAATGTCGTTTGGTAGTAGAGTGATGTCACTGATCTTTTTGATGAAATGAGTTGAGTCTTTAAAATTAGAGCTGGATTGGCCAATCCGTGGCTGAAAGAGGGTGGTGAGGTATTTGGCTATGCTGTATGTGGGCAAATCTATTGCACTTACAATGGGCCTGAGTGGAGTGGGTTGCCTGTTTTGTGAATCTTAGGAAGCCCATATATTCTAGGTATGGTAAGGCCTCAGATTTGATGAGTTTCCTTATGTTTTCCGAGTCCAACGGTAGTGCTCGGACGAGTTGATTGGTTTTTCGCAATATAGAAGCAGTGGAATTGCGCTTCAGCTTTCTGTAGGTGGAGGCAGTGTTGCCAGATCTCACGATTATTCGTAAGATTACACGATTTTGGTTAGAATTTCACGTTCTCACGAATGAGGTAGCAATTCTTACGAATTCTCTCTGTAGTAACACAAATCAGTAATTGAATATAATATTTAGGCCGTAGTTACCCAATTCCTTAATTCTTAATATTTGTCCCTAATTCCTAATTCTAAAAAAGTTCAATTTATTTAACATTGGTGTTTTTAAGGATTAAGAATTAAGAGCCAAAATTGAGAATTAAGGACTTGGGTAACCCCGGCCTTAATCAATCGTCATAAAAATCTACTATACAATATCACGCCGCTCCTGGTAGATACATACGCGCCCAACTACACTACACTTACGGCCGTTTCCACCAACTATTTATAGGGCAAGTACACTATCTGACAGTTTGACATAAATAATAGCTATTTATGTACCAAGGGGATTATGTAGTATATATACTACATAATCCCATCGCTCCTTAGTAAAAAGTTTTAGAGCATCTCTAAAAGGTTGAAGTAAACCTACTATACCTACTTTATTAGGGCCTTTTCGAATATGAATATAACCTAAAATTTTTCGTTCTATCAATGTAAAAAAAGCAACTCTAATTAAAATACAAATAAATAAAATTAAAGTTGAAATTAATAATAAAATTAAATCATTAAATATCAAGTATTATTTGTAAAAATTTACATAAAAAGATTCTGCATCCCCGTCGACATCTAGAAATGCACACCGTCCACCGGCCGGCATTTCTGTTACCCAAAATCCGTCTACAAACCCAGCACCAGCGAGAGGCTGGCAGCAAAACCGTAGAACCGAACGGCCTTATAGAACCGAATCGTACCAACGGAATTCTGGACCGAACAATCGGTCCAAAGCAATGATTTGCTGGAAGTGTCGAGAAACTGGACACTTCAGAACCGATTGCCAGGGTACTGCAAAATTATTCTGCTCCCGTTGCAGAAAACCAGGTATAATGTCCCGAGACTGCCCATGTGACCGTTCCCGTTCGGGAAACTAAAAAGGTGCTCTCCTAGTCCGAGGTCAGCCCAGCACCGTAAACCGATAACCTCGAATAGACATCCCTATTTTCCGACAGGGGTGAACCCGATTCGTCTACCGGATTTCCGACCACATGTATGCATTTACATCGAAGAGGCCCCGTTCTTAGCTTTTATTGATACCGGAGCCGCCAACTCATATATAGGGAACCTCGCTGCAGATATATGCCGACTCAGTGATTATC